GGACCGTCATTCATTGCGGTATGTGGGCCGAGTGTCGTGCCGTGTCCGCGCCAGAGCTGGGCCAGACCAATTTTGCTGACTGGGTAGTGATCCATCGTCGATATCCATCAGTTGTTGTGTACTGTACAAGTAATAATGAAAGATGAAGCATTTATTTGGTTTCACATTCGTAATGGTCCTCTATTATCACTCTAATTGCCTTTTTTTTCCATTTCATTGTTTAATATCTATGGTAAGAAGAATTTGTCACACAACTATTTTAAGTAATTACGACATGTGAAGGTTACAAACAGCTTGAGACAGGCTCAGTTACTGCAGTACTTGGTGTTTTTTGTTTGATTGCCGAACATTTTCGTGCGCAGTTCTTCTGTTTTGGCCACTTAACCGTTTGTGTACGGTGCATCGCCACACTGCGCCAAGGTATTTCGCCAAATAAGTGGATAACAATGGCAAAGAGCAGTTAACGGGACAATCAACAATGCATTACAATGGCTGACTGGTGACTCGGCATTCTGTAAATGACGTTACTTGCCGGAGATTGCCGAACAAAAGCATTTTCATTGTTAAGTGCGTTGTGACGGGTCTAATTAATGAACCTGGGTGGTTTGCGGGGAAAAAATAATGAAAGTATGCTTGAAATAGTTTTAGCTCTAAGTATTACTCAACAGATGGTATGTCAATTTTATTTTACACCTGACCTTTAAATTCCACTTCCTAATGAGTATATAGAATTGATGGTAGAAACTGATCTAAAGCTGTTGTCTTATTGGTGGTGTCCATTGTCATACTATTAATGGGGGCTCTTGTTGCAACCTCTTGATTGGACAGGGGCAGAGTAGACAAAAAATCTTCCTACTGCACCTCCCACCGCTGAGTGAAATCATTGAGCAAATGAGTTAATATTGACTGAGTGAGCAATTGTGGCTTTGGCTGCAGTCAAATATTTTCCATTAGCATGTGTTGGATGACCAGAGACTGCGATTTATAGCTGATCTCTTGAGGTGTTAGGGGAGAGACAAGTTTAGTCAAATTGATAGTCATATCCATGCAATCTCATGTGGGTCAACATGGGTTTTCTGCCAACATAAATAGATGCTTTGACCACCTATTGTCACATTGGTTTAGTGTGATGTACAGAACACTGGCGGCAGTCAAAGATCCAGACTAAGAGACAAACGTGTACATACCTTGCTCATGTTGCACAAAGGTAGCGTGCCCTAGCAGTCTGCGTGTGGCCTGTCAAAGTCGGATACACTGCAGCCACCTTTGACCTGTCCTCCCCCCACCTAGATCTTGAATCTATACACTCACATATTCACATTTAAACTACAAGGTCAACGTTAAGCGAACACTCAAAACACTTTAGTGAAGCATTTGGTTGGTACAATCCGCTTTGTATTATTTGCTTTCCCATCTTGCTCGAGCAAACAGCTTAAGCAAGAGCTATCAGTCTCCGATAGTATGGTTCTATATATAGACGGGCCCTGTGACTGAGCTGGAACTAGGTGTCAGATTCCAGTCGCACTCATCCGTCCTGGCTGGATCAGCACCTGCTGCTAACTATAAACCCACCCTGCCCAGCGTTCAAAAGAAAGCCAATGCCCACCCGCACAGCTCAGCTTGGAGAAGAAAAGTGAAGAGCCAGCGTAGGCTCTGAAGGCACTTTGACCAAGGCCAACTCAAAAGGGAGGGGCAGAAATGAAGACGGGAGGATGCAACGTGCCGGCAAGAGATGCCCGCGTTGCTTTTTTATATTGAAGCCTGACCCACCCGACTGCATTGCTCTGAAGCAGTGAGGCTCAGTCACATTTGGGCTCGACAAAGCTGCTCGTCCTCACTTGTTGAACTCTGAGACTCGAAGAGTGCCGTGGATTTAAGAGACACTTCCCCGGATCACTGGCAAACATTGCTATATAGAGCAACTTGATGCCCTTTGGAAAATACCAATCTTTCTTTCCTAAGGTACAGTATCAACTATTTGCTGCATTACATTACAGTAATGTATTAACATGGTAATATCCATTTTTGTTGCAAGTAATAAGAAAAACATGACACTTATTCGTTATACAAATCTGTTCGAACAACTTCAACAAAATTGAAAGCCATTTTCAAACGCTCTTTGTATTTCAGACCACATGAAAAAAATATATTATTAATTGGCAGTGAATGAGAATTAATATATATATATATATATATATATATATATATATATA